TCCCTTCCCCCTTCCTCTCCCGTTCCCTTTCCCTCTTCCACCTATTCTTCCCCCCTTCTCCCCTTTTATCCCTCCCAAACCCTCCCTCTCCCCAATGCTCCCCCTTCCCTCTCCCACCCTCCCTCTTCCCATCTTCCCTTCTCCCCTCTTCTCCCTTCCCCTCTCCTTTCCCCTTCACCCCTCCCCTTTCCCTTTCCCTTCCCCCTCCCCTCTCCCTATCCCCCCGTTCTACCCTTCTCACCCTCCCTCTTCCCATGTCCTCCCTCCCCCTCTTCCCATTCCCTCCTTCCCACTCCCCCTCTTCCCTATTCCCTCCTTCCCCTCCCCCCTCTCCCCTATTCCCCTCCCTCCCATCTTCCCCTCTCTCCCCTTCTCCCTCCCTCTCCCCCCCTTCCTTCTCCTCTTCCCTTCCCTCTCCCCATCTCCCCCTCTCCCTTCCCAACCCCCCCCCCCATACAAAGAAAACCCGCGGAAACTTTCCATAAACAAGAGTGTGTGGATGTCCGAATCCGCTGATTATTTCTGGCAGGTGGCAGAGCACAGAGCAGACCTCGCTGCAACCACGCACGAAAGAAAGAAAGAAAAGAAGGCAAGAAGGAAGAAAGAAAGAGAGAAAAAGAAAAAGAAAGAAAGAATAACCAATAAAGAAAGAAAAAGAAAGAAAAGATAGGGAGAAAGAGAGAGAAAGAAAGAAAGAAGAAGAGAGGAAGAAAGAAAAAGAAAGAAAAGAAGAAAGGAAGAACGAAAAAGAAAGGAAGGAAGAAAGAAAAAGAAAGAAAGGAAGACAGGAAGAAAGAAAAGAAGAAAGGAAACAGGAAGAAAGAAAAAAGGAAGAAAGAAAGAAAAAGAACCAAAAGAAAAGAAAGAAAGGAAGAAAGAAAGAAAAGAAAAGAAAAGAAAAAAAAACGTACGCATTCACCATTAAATTGAGGTGATAAACGTTAAAAGAATTACGATAATTTTTGTTTGAATTTGTACCTTTCATTTTCGAAATTCGAGCTCATTTTGTGTGAAATCATAATATGAATATATATATCTCTGTTAATCCATTAATTTCCTTCTATTGCAGGCAACGTCACTTTGGTAATTTCATGAATTGAGACACACACACACACACACACACACTCTCTCTCTCTCTCTCTCTCTCTCTCTCTCTCTCTCTCTCTCTCTCTCTCTCTCTCTCTCTCTCTCTCTCTCTCTCTCTCTCTCTCCTCTCTCTCTCTCTCTCTCTCTCTCTCTCTCTCTCTCTCTCTCTCTCTCTCTCTCCTCTCTCTCTCTCTCTCTCTCTCTCTCTCTCTCCAAATAAAAAAAAAAAATGGTGAATTAACCTATAACACACCGAACAAATATATAAACAACGACCACATGAACCAAAACAAACCCCATGAACAAAAACTCAAACCCCACGCGCACTGAAACCCCCTCCAACCCCAGCATCCCCATCACCCCCCCCCCCCGGCCATAAAGACAAGGAAAGTACGGCCGTGTGTGTATGCGCGTGGCGTGCGTGCGTGCGTGTAGCGAGTCACGGTGGAGGGTGGTGGTCGGGAGGGAGGAGGAGGGAGGAGCAAGAGGAAGGGGAGGAAGGGAGGGAGGGGGGAGGAGGGGCAAGAGGAAGGGAGGGAGGGAGGGAGGAGGGGCAAGAGGAAGGGAGGGAGGGGAGGGGAGGAGGCAAGAGGAAGGGGGAGGGAGGAGGGGCAGAGGAAGGGAGGAAGGAAGGAGGGGGGGAGAAGGGAGGAGGGGAAGAGAAGGAGGGCAAGAGGAAGGAGGGGGGAGGAAGGGAGGAGCATGAGGAAGGGGGAGGAGGAGCAAGAGGAAAGAAGGGGAGGGAGGGAGGGAGGGAGGGGAGGAGGGGCAAAGAGGAGGAACAAGAGGAGGGAGGGAGGGGAGGCGTGGCAAGAGGAAGGGAGGGGGAGGAGCAAGAAGAAGGAGTGGGGGGAGCAAGAGAGAGGGAGGGAAAGGAGGGGAGAGGAGAAGCAAGAGGAAAGACCGGGAAGTAGAGACAAGAGCAAGGGAGAGCCAGAGGGAGGAGGAGGAGGGGAGGAAGGAGGAGAGGAGAGAAGCAAGAGGAACGACCGGGGAGTAAAGACAAGAGCAAGGAGAGAGCTAGAGGAAGGAGGAGGGAGGAAGGGAGAGGAGGGGAGGGGAGGGGAGGCTACCTGTGGGCGTGGCATTGAAGTCTCCGAGGCGACGGCACTGCACGCGGGCCACCAGTTAGTCCTCTGTCACTCGCCGCGGGGAAAGGGCACTCGGTGAACAACTCCCTCCAACCCCCCCCCCCTTTCATCCTCATTTGTACCAAGTTGCATTGTAATATTGCACTGCATCATCACCGCTTTAAGTTGTTTTAGAAGTAGTTTTGTGTGTTGTTTGCGGTTAGCGAAGTCCGTGGGTTGTGTCGAACCAAAGGGACAATATTGAACGCGCATGAACAATACTGAACACCTACGAACAATACTGAACACCCACGAACAATACTGAACACCCACGAACAATACTA